AGAGAGACTCTGTCTCAAAAAAAAAAAAAAAACTTGTGGAAGGATTCTAAAAGACCCAAAATTAAATATAATCTTTTGCTCATATTTTTATGCCTATATTGCCTATCCTGACTTCTAGGTTCCTTGCTCAAAAGATATGACACTAGAATCACTTTTACATATTTTAGCTTCTAAAGTTGGCTTCATAAGTAGAAAAAGCAGAGATAGTCTTAAAACTGTATGTCTTAAAGGTATGGTTAACTTCTTTTTCTCTTTTCCTTTTTTCACTTTCTCTCTTTTTTGGAAGAGCATTTATAGAGGAATTACGAAATACTTTTGTTGAAATACTAATCATTATCTAATCCAATTACCTATTGGAAGCTTATATTCTCCTATAATTGTTGTCACTACTAAATTGTCATCCAGTCTATACTTGAGTTCCTGCAGAGGTATTCCATTTCATTTTCAAAGTCTTACCATTACAAACTTCTTCCTTTTATTGAGCTAAAATATGGTTTTATCTGTGTGATATCTACCAAGTAGTCTCAGCTTTACCCTTTGGGCCATATCATGATAATGCCTACTAAACATGTTTTCATACATTGTTATTTTTCCACCACATAGGTAGCTTTCAAGCATTTGAACATAGCCATATTTCCCCAGAGCTTTTTGACTTATTTCATTGTGGATTGATTGGCTTTCATGCATGGTACACAATTTTCATCCTTACTTATCATAATCCCAAGAATTCCCTTAACCTCTCCTGTTCTCTATATCCCATTCTTCTCTTTCCTGGTTTCCTTCTCATTTAACTGGAACACATTTTCTGCTGCTTCCTAAGAAAGAGTACAGTTTTTAAGACACTGTATGTCTAATCATGTGTTCATCCTTCTCTCACATTTGAGAGTTGAGAAATAATTGTCCCACAGAGTGTGAAGGCATTGCTTCATTGACTATTTTAGTATTACTGGTAGAAGATCAGAAACTATTTCAGTGCTTAATCTTTTGTATATGATTTTTCTCCCCCTCTCTGGACATGGATAGGATCTTGGCTTTGTCCATGGTGTTTTGAAATTTCAGTGATGTTCTTTGGTTTGGGTTTCTTTTCATCCATTGTTATGGGCACTCAGAATGTCCTTGTGGTCTGTAAACTTATGCCCTTCACCTTTTGGATCATTTCTTGGATATATCTTAGATTTCTCCTTTGTCATTTTCACTGTCATCTGTGGGAGTCCTTCTGGTTTTCCAATTATTGAAAATCTTTTTGTTATATTTTTTTATCTCCTTTGTTTTCCAATTTTTGGAAGATTTCCTTAAGTTTATATACCTATTGAACCTTTTATTTTCTAAGCTTTGTTTTGTCTTGCTTTTGGTATTAATTTAATAAATCTATAATGTGGCTGGCAAAGTACTACATGGTCTGGCCTTTGCATTACTTGGCAGCTTTATCTTGTTCCCCTCATTCTCTGTTTGAGTCCCAGTGGCTTTGCAAACTTTTGAATAACCACGTTCCCTCCTGTCAAAGGGACTTTGCACTTACTGTGTAAAATTTCTTTCTATTCCACTTTACCTAGTTAATTCCAATTTATTTTTTAGGTCATAACTTATTGGTACCTAGTTAATTCCTATTTATTTTTTAGTTCACAACTTACCAGTCACATCCTCAAAGAAGCCTTCCCTGATCACACTAGCCAGGTCAGACCTCATTATATGCTGTCATGACTCCATGGACATTTTGCATTCTTTCCAATCAGACCATTAATCCAACAATCACTTACGTTTTTATCCCCAGTGCTAATTAAAAAACACCTGGCACATAATAGCTATTCATTATCTATTTGCGTAATGAAAACAGAATGAATAGATAGGTAAGTTCAACCAGAGGGACTATATAAAGTGAGAACAACAATGGGCCAAGATTTGGAACCTTGAAGAAAGACCGAGGGGTTGGACAAAGGAAGTAGAGGCACTGAAGGAGACTGAGGAGAACCAGCCACAGAGGAGAGGGACACTAGGAAAGCAGTGTCCTGGAGCATCTGAAGCAGTAGAGTGGTTAATGCTGTCAAAAGCAAGGAATGTAGGGCTTGAAAAGTGGCCATTGGGCTAGTAACAGAAGTAGTTGGTAACTGAACAGCCTCAAGGTGGGGAGGTAAAAAGGGAATGGAAGGGAGGTTAAAGAAGGTGAAGTAATGAAATAGCGTGTGTAGATAATTCTTTGAAGAAACTTAGTCGTGAAGGGAACAAGAGGGATAGCTAGAGGAGAACGTCAAAGTCCAAGATCTTTTTATAGTTTTTTTTTTATCATTTTTACTTTAGATGAGAAAAACAGCATATGGCATTTAAATGATGAAGAGAGGGAGAATATCTTTAAGAATTAGGAAGGATAGTTATTAGTAAGACAGACCGGTTATGTGTCCTTTTCAAGTGTTAGAGACCATGTCAAGCATTTTATAGTCAGATTTTAATCCCTGTGATGGTTTATGGATGCAATAAATATCCTCATCTGTAAAATGGCGATCCATTTTATAAATGAGGGAACTGAGGCTTGCGAGATGGGATAGAATCCAGAGCCCTGATGGAATTAGCAGAGGTAACCCTCCAACTTTTATAGGACAGCAGGGGGCTGGGATGGTCATGGGTGCAAATGTTTATAGGTGGGGGGCTAGCATGTCGTTAAAGAACATGGGCTTGGGAAAGCCTAATGGCAGATTTCGGTTTATAGCCCAGCTCTGCTGGCTTTAAAAATTCCAGAAAGTAGAATGAGTTCCAGCTCTATCCAGGAAAATACAAGAGGTGCTATAGAAAGTAATAACTTCTTTCAGCTTATTTCCTCTTAAATAGGAATAATAATAGGATTACAGGATAATAGTATGATCATTATGATTAGTTAATTTGTGTAAACAGTGGCTGAACATCATTGGTTTTTAATAAGCAATAATGGCATTGTTGGTGGGAATGTAAATTAGTACAGTCATTATCGAAAACAGTATGGAGGTTCCTAAAAAAACTAAAAATAGTACTGCCATAGGATCCAGTAATCCCATTATTGGGTATGTATCTGGAGGAAATGAAGCCAGTATGTCAAAGAGATATCTGCACTCCCATGTTTATTACAAGTGTCCATCAAGAGATGAATGGATAAAGAAAATGTGGTATATATACATAATAGGATACTATTTAGTCATAAAAAAGGATGAAATTCTGTCACTCACAGCAACATGGATGAGCTTGGGGGACATTATTTAAGTGAATTAAGCCAGGCACAGAATGATAAATACCACTTGTTCTCACTCATGTGGAAGCTAAAAAAGTTGATCTCATAGCAGAGAGTAGAATAGTTGTTACTAGAGGCTGGGAAGGGTAGGAGGAGAAGGGGATAGCCAAAGGTTGGTTAATAGATATAAAAGTACAGCTAGGTAGGAGGAATGAGTTCTAGTGTTCTATAGCACTAAAGGATGATGATGAATATAATTAGCAATTTATTGAATATTTTCAAATAGCTATTAGAGTGCATTTTGAATGTTCCCAACACAATGATAAATGTTTGAAGTGATGGATATGCTAATCATCCTGATTTGATCAGTACACGTTGTATACATATATCAAAATATCACACTCTACCCCATATGTACAATTATGTGTTAATTAAAAATAATAAAAGCAAATCCAAACAAAGAAATAAGTACTAATGGGAGTCAAGGTCCTCTGAATGGTAGCAAGCATGGGGGACTCAGGATGAGACAGGGCTAAAGTGCCGGGGCCAGATTTCAAGGAATGCCCTCAGAAGGCACAACTGTTGCCAATTGTGAAGCATTAAAGGGTTTTAAAAGACAATTACATCTGATTTATGTGGTAGACAAAGAAAAAATTAGCCAGGTGTGGTGACATCTGCTTGTAATCCCAGCTACTGAGAGGCTAAGCCAGGAAGATTGCTTGTGCCTGGGAGTTTGAGTTTGCAGTGAGGTATGATCACGCCACTGCACTCTAGCCCCGGTGACAGAGCAAGACTCGGTCAAAGAAAAAAAAAAAA